ACACAGCCTCTTCCCAATATGCGTTTTTGCAATTTACATATATGCAAAAACGCATAAAAAGGGAACGGCATTACTGTCGGATACACCACCGCTTACTACTGAACTAATAGCCGATTCAAGTGTTAAGTAATATTTTCGCGGAATAGCCAGGAAAACCAAAGCAAATTTAGTTGATTTACGAGAAGAATGTGAATACCTTCCTCGACAAAGTACCTTAAAAGTTAGCACTATGTAAACATTCTGTTTATTATATAATATTCTCATTCTGTTTAGTATATAGTGTACTATCCACCTCTTACATATTATTTATAAGGTGGAATGTTAAATGATCATTCGGAATATTTGAGGGGAACTAAGTAGGATACCCATCAGATGGAAGGATCCGTTTGGACGCTTTATGAAATTTTAATGGAAGGGAAGTATATATACAAGTATTTAATAAGAATGTGGGGAAACATGAATGCGATAAGCTCAGTATCGAGAAGAATGGAGAAGTTGTCAGCTGCACCGATGGTGAGAAAGACTACGGTAATAACGCAGCAGCTTTTCGAGATATCACAACTGGTTCTGATTTTCAAATGCATTCACCGAAGGAGGGTTCGGAGAGTCAGTGTGGAGATAACATATTAGTCCATGAGTGTGTGTGAACTCATCATGTATCTTAAAATGCTTGCAAAAATAATGCTTACTCGTTTCTTTTCTTGTGTTCCGCGTTGCAGTCGCTGATTGTTCGGCGCGTTAGCTCTGTCCTGCCTAAATTCATTGTGGAGTTGCCCGAAAGCTTCCCGTGTTTGTTGGCTGTTTGCGAGGAAATACATATAAGCACTGAACATATCATTGCTGGCCGCGGCAATCGGCGGGAGGTCGTTGGTTGGCGCTCTGGGTACACTGTTGGCGTCGAAGAATCCGGAAGCAGGGAAAGATGGCGTCGCTACTGCTGCTGCCAGTAAGCTTTGCAGGAATGCTTGCTGTAAATTCGCCCCAGTATCTCCTGTTCCAGTACCGACAGAGTCGGCAATTGATGTTGCTGATGACGAGGATGGCAGTAGGGATGCGGGCGCTGTTGGCCCATGACCATTGGTCAGCATTTTGTTCAGAAGGACAGAAAGCGAATGTGATTCGCTGATCGGTGAAGGATCCAAAAGTAAGATTATACAGATTGGCTGTCTTCGTAGTTTGATAAATGGTAGAAACCACAGGAAATCTGGAACAAAAAAAAACATTGATTCTAAAAATATCCGTCCGCGACAGTGTTCATTGAACGTACGTGCATGTCACTAGAGTAATTTCAGTCAGGCCTGCAAATGAAACCTGAGGTGTAGCTAACTAAACGTCCGAAGCAGCCATCAGGAGTTCACTTCCCCGAGTGACCTCCCCCGGTTTTTCCCCATTTAACAGCACTGCAGCTTGCTGCGAGCTGCCTCTGTTTGGCCAGACAAAATGTTGGGCAGTATCCTCATTCTGGAGTTCTCTTCTTTTTTCTTAATTCAGGTCATAATTTAGACACTGGCTAAGGTTAGTATCAAGTCATGTACGAATTGGGCATTCGCTCAAGTTAATACCGATCGAAGCGAAAAATTCGAGGCGCTTGCTACGGCTGCTGCCCGAGTGGTCGTAGATGTCATCTGGCGTCAGCAAATGATTCAGATGTTTGCTGAGGTCAATATCAGGTTAGTGGACGACCTGGACACTGGCCGAGCCGAGACCCAGTTAATGCACAATGTTTTAAATGTGGGCTGAGGTTGAATGAGGGTTAGGACACGATTTAGACGTCGGCCGAGGACAGTACCATATTTGAGACTAAAAATCCCAAGCATCGGCAGAGAGTGGAGTCAGGATAGTCTAAGAGCTAGCGGACGTCATTCCCAGGTTTATGCCTAATTTAGACGTTGGCTGAGGCTAATGCTGTTGGCAGTGTAGTTTCCAAAGATTACTGAGATGACTGTAGCTGTAGGTTGAGGACAGCATCACTTGAAACGAAAATTCTGAAGCAGTAGGTAAGCGGGCTGTCCGAGTGATCAGTACCAGATAATGCCTGATTTAGACTTTGTCTGAAGCTAGTACTACCTGAAATTAGGATAACTAGAAGGTTTGTCATCTGTTTATGTAGCATTCTGATGCCTAGACTTCCACAGTATTATTATCAGTACTGCCAGGAGGAATGGAACAGGCCTGCTGCTCTACGACATATTGCGGGCTTCTTGCAGCACACACCACACACACATACACACAAAACAATGATGATAAATGAAAAGTGATAAATCACTGATAACGTGTCCCAACGCGCCGGTCCGTCTCGTTGCCGGCAACGCCTATCATGTATGTTGACATCTGCTGATAAAAACTGTCGTGCTGCTGCTGTTGATGTTGGTTGGTGGTGAGTGAGACAACAGTAGTAGTAGCAGCAGCATATTTTGGCAACATTGTGACAAGCAAAACAATGCAGGCGGCTTTCACTACAGCACAAACTCATTTATCATCATTTCCTTAAAACAACCGCCGACTGATAAGGAGCCGGAGACGCTATGAGGGCTGATCGGTGTGTAATTGCGGACTTCCCGCAACTCATCACAAAATTATGTTGCAAACAAGCACCCTAACTGTGTCTGATTCCACATAAACCGAGACACTTCCTCAGTCGAGTTAAATCTCGGAGAGAACATTAAACTGGAAAATTTCGGAAAGAAACACTGAATTGAGAAATTTCGGAATCTCAAATAAAATCTCAGATGAACTGAAAAATCTCGGAGGAAAGTTTTTCCGCTTCTAAGTTCGTCGTTTTCCCCAAACCGCTTATCGAGATAAGTCAGATTTCTAGCGTAAAATCTTCAGTGATCGTGAAATGCAGCGACCCGAATTCAACCCATAATTTTATGAGAAGTACAAGCCATTTTTCGGCAGACACTTTTCAAAAGCACAACGATAATTTTTTTCCATGAAAAGTGAAATCACTACCTTTTTTTCAATAAAAACTCTTTTTTTTTTAAAAAAAAACTAGAATTTTTACAAGCACTTTTGAAACCCC